ATTATTATAATAAAATAATATAAATCAAATATTATTTTACTAAAAAATATTTATCAGCTTTACCCAAGTTCAAATCCAAGCCCGAGCCCGTGACACGTGCCCGTGCCGCATCCGCCGAGTTGAGCCAGCCATTCGGTCGGTCCGACGGTCTGCAGTGGTGGGGCGCGCGTGTGAGTTTTGGCCCAACCTATTAGCATGCATGTTTTTTCCCCTTCAAAAACTATTAGTACTCTTTGGGGCCCAAACTCAAGTCTCAAACTTGAGCAATATAAAGTGGTTTATATTCTTCTAGCTTTCTTATGTGGGATTGACAATTTTCCAATTTCCCACCAATTTATTTCGACTTCAAGTGGTCATGTTTTGGCATGAATTCACACCACGTGTCTTGCTCTCATTTTCTTCCTTTTTGGCAAAGGACATACAGTTGAGGTAAGGGTTTATAGGCCTCTTTATACCTTTCTTGCTCAATTAGCGTAAGCTAATGATCTTTTTTCCTTGATCAAAGATGGATGGGGTGATATCAGTGTTTTATAGCCACCCAACCATATCGAGGCTTCACACGACAAGATCATGGGATTTTATTAACTTACTCGAAGGACTTGGAGATCCAAACCCTCCAAATGCAGAAGATTTATTGCGTAAAGCAAATTACGGGGAGGATGTTGTCGTTGGTCTTTTGGGCAAATTATTGGGAGGATGTTATCGTTGGTGTTTTGGACAGTGGTACAGTAAACAATTTTTTCTTACTATTTTTGACAAAATAACTAATTTAAAAATAAGTTTAACATATATTTGTACACAGCTAAACATGCTTAGATAAATTCTCTTCTATAATAGACATACTATAGCTTTAAAATGACTCAAATCAAACCTGAGTTTGAGTTTCATTTGGGATTGTAAAATTCCACCACAAAAAAAAAAAAAAAGAAAAAGAAAAAGTTAGATATAAAGCGTGTGACAAACTAAATTAATTGAAGCATTCTTCTTTCTGTATTACATCATTTGCTGCATGTGCTTGGAATTGGTCAATTACTTAGTAAAATTTTCTATAATTAAATTTAGAGTCAACTATGTAAATTTCAATTCATTATAAATTTATTAAAAGATGTAAAATAGCTAAATTCAACTTTAATTGATGGGACACGTAGTCTGTCTCAACGTCTTAATTTATTTTCAATCGGCCGATGCCATCTCTCGTTCTTAGCACAATCAACATTCAATATTCACCACTAAATGTAGGAGAATTTTCAATCCTTACTAAATTTCAGTATTCTCGAGATTTTAATGAATTTATAAGTATTTTATTAATAGAGAGATTTTAATAAATGGGTAATTGGCGCAAAACGTCCTTACCTTTGCATGGTTGTGTGTAAAACGTTCCTACCTTTCGTTTTTTGGCGCAGAACGTCCTTACCTTTCATATTTTTGGTGCAAAACGTCCTTTTC